GGTGTAGCAGGTCATCATGTAGAGAGCAAGGAGAGGTCCTGTCCGGGGTTTATGTGTCGCCCAGATTCCTCTCTTACACCTTCCGGAACCTATAGTAGGCCCCAGGTTTTACGCTTTGCCTCAGTGGCAATTTAGTGCAGGTGAGGCCAACAGACAGAGCTCTGGAGCCTGGGGAGCAGACAGTCTATCTGCTGGAGCACAAGGTTGGTCAGTGTGTTTTGCTGAAGCCTGGCAAACAATAGGTTTGTACAGGTTGGTAGTCAGGACTATCGTATGTTTAGTTAGTGCCGGGACACGGCTAGGATTTTGTTTTTGAAGTATTTACTTTCTTTGAGCAATGTATATAGCCTGTGTGTTGCACCAATAAATGTAACACTGTTTGAAGAAAAGTCACTGGTCTGGTCTCTAAACCTTGCAAGATTGCTCACCCCAGGGAGCAATTGTACCCGCTACCTATTCCCCAGCTCACACCGGTAAAATAGTTTCCATAGTTGCACTTCAGTATGTAGCTGCTTGTCTAAGGCCATTATTCATGGAGAAGACATTGAAGTAAGTTACCTTCATCATGCCAATATCAGTCTCAGCTCCTGGAGGGACATTCACGCCCTCGTCCTCAGGAAACGGCATTTGGGATTGATCGTGGATGAGAAGGCGAATTCCGGCAGCATGTGACATGTCTCGTATGTATTCGATCTGTTGAATGAACAGCTCGAGGTGCAGTCCTGTCCAGAGCACAGTGATAAACATAAGATTTAGATGTACATAGGTAGTGGTGAATTTTGCTGCTGGAAGTGAACCCGTACGTTGTATATTCAGGGCGGATTAACACTTTAAATATCAACTGTACTCAAAAATGATTTTCTTCCCACCCACCTCTGACCCATCCTGCTAGGCTTTTGTTTCCCCTTATCTTTTGAAGTCAGATATACTCACCTAAGTTCCCCCTCTAGGTCCATTACCTCTGCCGATTCTGGGTGGGGGGGAATACAAATCCAGTGATGCGAAGATGCTTGAGACCGCCAGTCCCCTTCATTCCCTTCCACTGATATCAGTCCTCTTCTGGATCCTGAGAGGACCCTGGCCCAATAAACATCTAATGCAGACACTGACGTGGACACTCAAAGAAGAACCCAAGCAGTAAGTAAACACGTGTCTCTCCTTGGACTCCCCACAGTGAAGAGCTCAGTCCTTGAGAGGCCAGTTGGCAGCCCAAGGGCGAGGGAAGGTCCCTTTCTCAATATAAGATCCTACTCAGTGCTGACTAGGGACTTAGAAACAGAAAATGTGTTTGAGGCTTCAGGGGGAAACGGGAGCACATAGAAGGTATGTGTTCCTTACCCTCTAAGGAACGCTCAGCCAGTCTCAATGTAAGAAAACTGTACATAGGTCATGGCATGTGGCCCTGTACTTGGGGTGACTGCCAGAAACAGGATTGCACATGTACCAGTGTGCTCGTCTTACAGTCTGTGCACAGGCATCTATGCATTCTCAGCACTGGTGATGGTACCAAATTGTCTCTATAATCTACAACACTGCATGAAAACATGGCTTCCTAATTACCCGTTGCCTGACCTGCTGTTCTGCTTTCCTGTGTGAAACCTGGCTTGCTTTGTGACCTGCTTCTGGACCTGTAACTGCTTGTTATGACCTTGGTCTGCCTGCTTGACTCTGCTTATCTCCTTTTTCTTTTGTACATCTACTGCCCACTGGTTCCTGACCCTGCTTGAACTCTGAACTCTACTTTGCCTTCTGAATTGGTACCTCTGCTACCTGGCTGTTACCAACCCTTGCTTGTCTGATTTGTTGCTCCGGTGTTCCGGCATTTGGTTTCTGTCCAGTGGTCTCCAGCCTGTTCCATGCAATCACCATCTTCAACAGATCCAGTGCTGCCTGCAACTACAGCCACTTGTGCCACTCCTTGCCCTTAGTTGCCCTATTAGCACTTGTCCAGGAGGACAGGAGGTGCAAAAGAAGCCCCACTGTCAGCTTAGACTCTATCAGATCCCCTCCCTGCTATAAAAGGAACCTGTTGCTTTGCCCTGAGTGAGCGTAATACAATTTCACTTTCATTAAGAAAGAAATGAAGATAAGCAGCACAAAGGTGGCCTTTTACATATATTGTAATCTTCAACAGAGGGGAAGGGACAATAAAGAAATAAATAGGTGTGAGATTTCAGATGGGTTTAATTCACATGATGTCTTACCATACATAAAGCCAGCTTTGGTTATGTTCAGCGGCTTGGTACTGATAGGACTCCCTTTGAAATCTGTGGGCTTCTGGGAGTTGAATGTGTAACAGTTTCCAAATTTGTAGTTAATGAAACTGGAGAAGTAACTGGAAAAAAAGGAATGCATCAATCAAGAATTGAATTTTAATTAAAAAAATGAAAGAAAATGCATAAGTGGTCCGTACAAATTCTAAAAATACTTAAAAAAATACTGTATATATATATATATATATATATATATATATATATATATATATATA